TTCTCCTGCCTCAGGCTCCCAAGCAGGTGGGGTTACAGTTGTGCCAACCACACCTGGCTAATTTTTTGTATTTTTAGTAGAGACAGGGTTTCACCACATTAGCCAGGCTGGTCTCAAACTCCTGACCGCAGATGATCTGCCAGTCTTGGCCTCCCAGAGTACTGGGATTACAGGCATGAGCCACCATGCCTGGCCTGTTTCAATAGCTTCTAATCCCACATTGAGCAACAGCCCAGTAGGACATAATTCACTGAATGAGTAAAGGTATAAGTAACTCTACAGGCATTAATATTCCTTACAAATGAGTAAACCTGATAATTTAACTTATTAGGAACAGCGGAATTCAGTGAGATATGTAATTTCAGAAATCATTTATAAACAAATAGTTTCTCTGCCTCAATTTCTGCTGATAGAATGAGTATCTCAAAGCCCAACCTTTGCTACAATACCAGGAATTACCACTTACGCATTTTCTTCATCAAAGTTGGCCCGTTTAGATCCAATTTTGTAGAAAGAAGGGAGCTGTGGTGGAGCTGACTTTCCAAATCCAGAAGAAGAACTGGTTGCCCCAAAGGCACTGTGGGACTGCTGTGGGAGTTTGGGTTCCTCCTTTTTCCCAGCACTGATGGCAAAACCTCCAAAGCCAAATCCCCGCTTAGTGCCAGGACCACCTTTATTCCAGTTCATGGTGCCAATGACTGACCTGTTAGGAGTAAGATACACAAATATAAATTTAACTTTAAAAAGTGTGTATAGCCCCACTGAGTTGTATGTCTCTTCCAATCTTCACCTAAAATTTTAAACTTTAGCTTCTCAATTGAAACTATAACACTGTAGCCAGGAGAGTGGCCCAGGCCTGTAGTGCCAACTACTTGGGAGGCTTAGGCAGGAGGACTACTTGAGCCCAGGAGTACCAGGTTACACGGAGTTACGATCACACAACTGCACTCAAGCCTGAGCGACAGAGAGAGATTCTGTCTCTTTTCACATTAAAAAAAAAGGAAAAAGAAAATCCCATCAGTCTTATTAAGAGATTCATTTCCAGCCCAGTTACTTATGAGGCTGAGGCAGGGAAATTGCTTGAATCCAGGAGTTCAAGGTTACAGTGTGCTATGATCCTGCCTGTGAATAGCCACTGTATTTCAGCCTGGGCAACATAGTGAAATTTTGTCTCTTAAAAAAACAAAAACCACAAACGTTGACATTGTATTTCAGTTAAACACTATGCTAGCCTCAACAAATGATTACATTTTCTAAAACACTGAAGAAATTGTTATTCATTTGATTGGGATCTCAATGTAAACAGGAATGCAGTATTTAATATAATCACACTGAAAGGATTTGCCTGCTAATTAACATCTTATTAAACTGACAAAAATACTTATAAGAAAATATATTTTTGGGAATCTGATATGTGCTAGGCATTGTGTTGGGCCACTGGAGATTTGAAAAGACTGAATGTCTTCATCCTTATAAGAAAGACCTAGGTGCTATCAGCAAGACTGTCCCAAAACTAGGAATTATCCTCTGGTAATGACATCTGGAAAAAAATCAAGGAATCAAAACTTAAAAGATCAGTTATTTGTAGACATTAACTGTGTATTCATGTCTTAAGGAAGCATACTATGAACCATTGAACAATTGCCCACTAGGAACATTATCCAGGAAGAAAACATGATTCATTGTCATCAACATGTTGCCTGAAGTATTCAGTTAGGCCGTGGTTAAAAATTACAAACAGGCTGGGCGCGGTGGCTTAAGCCTGTAATCCCAGCACTTTGGGAGGCCGAGGCGGGTGGATCACGAGGTCAAGAGATCGAGACCATCCTGGTCAACATGGTGAAACCCCATCTCTACTAAAAATACAAAAAATTAGCTGGGCATGGTGGTGTGTGCCTGTAATCCCAGCTACTCAGGAGGCTGAGGCAGGAGAATTGCCTGAACCCAGGAGGCGGAGGTTGCGGTGAGCCGAGATCGCGCCATTGCACTCCAGCCTGGGTAACATGAGTGAAACTCCGTCTCAAAAAAAAAAAAAAAAAAAAAAAAAAAAAAAATTACAAACAAATGTCTTGTGCATTGATAAAATCACTTTACAAACAACACCTTACATCACTCTTGGCTCCAAAACACATTTTTTTTTTTTTCCTGAAAATAGAACAGGGTCAAGGGCTCTGTGCGGTGGCTCACATCTGCAATCTCAGGACTTTGGGCGGCTGAGGCCGGCAGATCACCTAAGGTCGAAAGTTTGGGACCAGTTTGACCAACATGGAGAAACCCTGTATCTACTAAAAATACAAAATTAGCCAGGCGTGGTGGCACATGCCTGTAATCCCAGATACTCGGGAGGCTGAGGCAGGAGAATCACTTGAACCCGGGAGGCAGAGGTTACACTGAGCCAAGATTTCACCATTGTACTCCAGCCTGGGCAACAAGAGTGAAACTTGGTCTCAAAAACAAAAACAAAACAGGGTCTCATGATGTTGCCTAGGCTGGTCTCAAACTCCTAGCCTCAAGAGATCCCCTTCTCACCTCTTCCTCCCTAACTGCTGGCATTACAGGCACAAACCACTGCACCTGGCCCAAAAAACATGTTTGTGTGTGTGTGTGTGTGTGGTTTTTTTTTTGCGACAGAATCTCAATCTGTCACCCAGCCTGGAGTGCAGCAGCACAATCTCAGCTTGCTGCAACGTCTGCCTCCGAGTTCAAGAGATTCTCATGTCTCAGCTTCCTGGGTAGCTGGGATTATAAGCATGTGCCACCACATCTAGCTAATATTATGAATTTTATTAGAGATAGGGTTTCGTTACGTTGGCCAGGCTGGTCTATAACTCCTGGCCTCAAGTGATTCACCCACCTCAGACTCCCAAATCGCTGGGATTACAGGCATGAGCCCCTGCACATGGCCCCCAAAAATCTTTTTAATGATACAAGTTATCTAAGTTTTACAGAAAAGCAGAAAGTGAAAAAGAAAAAAATTTAAAAACACCTGAAATTTCCTCTCCCAGATATGCGGTTTTGTTCTATCTTTTGCTACTTTTTCTATGAATATGTGCACAAGCACATATGCGCACGCGCGCGCGCGCGCACACACACACACACACACACACACACACACACACAGAAACCATACTGTACATATTATTTTAGTCACTGATTTCTTCACCTAAGGATACACTGTGATACTGTTTAATGTGAATAGATATCTATTTCTTCACTACTTTACTTATAATACTAATAACATTATAATGTTGCAAAACACATCATTATAGGTACATCTTTGTGCATACCTTCCATTATTTCCTTAGGAACAAGTTTTAAAATGCAATTGCTCAAAGGAAAACGCATTCTAAGTTTTAAAAACATGTTTTTTGAGACAAGTTTTTGCTGTCACCCAGGATGCAGTATAGTGCTCTGATCACAGCTCACTGTAACCATGAACTCCTGGGCTCAAGTCATCTTCCCACCTCAGTCTCCTGAGTAGCTGGGACTACAAACGTGAGCCACCATGCCTGGCTTTTTATTTTCTTTTAATTTTTTTGTGGTCTCACTATGTTGCCTAGGCATAGGCAACTCCTGGCCTCAAGCAGTCCTCCTGCCTCAGTCTCCCAAAGCACTGGGATTAACAGGTATGAGCCACACCACCTTGCCTGGCCTAATAATTTTAATTACTACTTACGTTTATGAAAAAGTATCCATTACACATTGAGTAAAATAAGTAAGGGCATAAAACAAGGTGAGTAGTATGATTCTATTTATGTAAAAACCATGAGTTACACATACAGGGACAGCTGAAAGGTTATCAAAATGTTAACGGCAGTTATTTGATTTCTACTTTGTTTACCATTAGTAAGAAAAATTAAAATGTTTAATTTCCCCTAGCTTTGAAGCCAGTGTGAGAAAAAAATTCCAGAAACTGTTTATTATAGTAACATTGTCGAAGAGATCAGAAACATGCACTGTTCTATGCCCCCTGTCTATATATACCTTATAGGTTTTGTTCAACTCCTATTATATACAGTACTTAGTTCCTTGCTTAGTATTATACACAGCACTTAGTTGCTTGCTTAGTATTACATTTTTTTTGAAATGGAGTTTTACTCTGTTGCCCAGGCTGGAGTGCAGTGGTGCAATCTTGGCTCACTGCAACCTCTGCATCCCTGATTCAAGCCATTCTCCTGTCTCAGCCTCCTGAGTAGCTGAGATTACAGGCATACATTACCACACTCAGCTAATGTTCTGTATTTTCAGTAGAGGCAGGGTTTCACTACTTTGGCCAGGCTGGTCTTGAACTCCTGACCTCAAGCGATCAGCCCAGCCTCCCGGAGTGCTGGGATTACAGGCGTGAGTCATAGCCCCAATCTGCTTGGTATTAAACTTGAATTACACCATGTCGACTTCCACTTAGACCCTTAACTCCAGATAGAAACGTCTTTACTCATTTTGGATCTCTTTCTGTAACAGTGATAATGACTAAAGTAAGTAGTTAAGTACTAGTTTACTTAAACTTCATCTCCTGTTCTCTTTAGGAATCCCATACGGAAATTCTTTCAGTCAGGAAATAAACATAATTCCAGTGCAATGAAATTTAGTAAGAATCTTTACAAGCAAGAAAATCTTAGCATCTGATAATGTTTTTAAACTAATCTATAAGACTATCTTTACAAGGGCTTTCCTAAGCAACAAAAATAATGGGCTCAACTTTAATCTCATTTTTCCTACAGTATATAATGTATAACGAGGAGCTAATAAATAAGACATAAGGATGAGAAGACAGTCAAAGAAAGGATAGTGAAAAGATATTTACATTCAGGTGAATTTTTAAGAATCACACAATCTCCTAGCAGGAAAACTTTTAATAGTTTACTGAAAGCTTGCTGAGGAAGGACAGTCATACATGAAAGATACAGTCCCTATTCTCAAGGAGTTAGACAGTGTAGTTTGAGGCAGCTGAAAACAACATGATGCATTCTAACAGGTATAGTATACAAAGTGGATTCACTGGCGGTCCATGAGTGGGAGCAAAGGCACAGAAGTCTTCTGGGAGATGACATGTTAAATTTTGAAATCTCAAGAGGCATTAGATCAGAGAAGCATTAAAGAAGGACATTTCAGATGGAAGTATCTGTTAAGTACTACCACAGAGAACAGGTAATAAAGTTCAGTGAAGCTAGAGTTCAGTAGGACATTTGAGAAATTTGCACGACACATGTTCAAAAAGACAGGGTCAAGATGAACAGCTTAGGAGGCTTTGCTAACGAAGTACCATACAAAACTGCATTCTGACAGCTACAAGGAAATATTAATTTTACACAGAAGAGAAATTTTCAGATCAGCGTTTTTGAAAGACAGAATGAGAGATACCCATGGAAGAGGCAAGGAAAGTAGTTAGGAGGCTGTTTCAGCAATAAAGACATAAAGTAACAAAATCCTGAACAAAGAAAGTACCTGTTAGAACAGAGAAACGGGGGATAGATCTGAATTATTTATTTAGATATCTATGAGGGAAGACCAAATAGGATTGGGTGACCAGCAACTAACTGGTGTGGAAGCTAAGGGAGAAGAGTCTAGAATAACTTTAGAAGTTTCTGGCTTTAAAGATTGGGTGGGCCGAGAACAGTGGCTCATGCCTGTAATCCCAGCACTTTGAGAGGCCGAGGCAGGTGGATCATGAGGTCAGGAGATCAAGACCATCCTGGCTAACAT